TTCTGTAGTTTATGGGTGAAATAGCTTTTAGAGAAGTGAAAAAATTAAGCAAATGCCTTTGATCGTAAGTGCAGATAATACACATCACACAGACTCTCTTTTGTGAGGGTTTTCTATACATATTGACACAGCTAATCTTTGCTTCTGCAGCATGTACATAAATATTAATCAAGATGACTGGCATATGGTACTGTTACGTGTCTTTTAAGAAAACCTCCAAGTGAATCCAATATTTCCCATGTGGCACCTGATACACTGTGGGTGTGGGATATTTATAGAGCAGTAATAATGATATTTGAAAACACTGTAATGTTTTAAGGCTTTATTTCGCCGCAAATTTCATCTCGAAGGCTGCATTTTGCAGACATCAGCTTCTGCCAGCCCTTCACAGGGATGGCTGGAATGCTGAGCTTTGTTGGGATTCACAAATAGCCATTTTCTCTGAACCCCTCAGAAGGAAAGTCACCTTGTCAGGTGGATGGGAAATATTTGCAGGTAAGACTTGCCTCTTGACTTGGCCTTCCAAGGGGGGTCTTTTGCCCTTCAATAGAATCAAGTTTCAAATGCATTTCCCCTTAAAAACCTCAGTAGAGCCTCATGCTACACATAGTAGTTCAGGAGATTGTCAAATCAAAGAATTATGATCAGATGATCTGTGATCTGGGAGTGAATGTAGTTAACCACTTTAATCAATTCTCCTTCCCTCTTTTTGAGCCAAGGAAGACATCAGTTTGGTGACAGAGGTAGAATTGGGATCTTTTTGTTCCTATCCCAGTGCTCACTTCATCAATCCTGGTTTGTTTCTGTAGCTAATAGAATAATACATCTTACCAGATTCAGTCCTATTGCATTTAATTTTAAAGTGTTCACCAGAAAACCTGCTGAGATATTATCTCTTACTTTGAAGTGTCTACTAGGTGAGGGCCTTGCAACCCAGCATTTCACTGTTATCCGAATCTTACAGGGCAGGCATCATCATCCCCATTTTACACAAGAGATGACTAAGGCTCAGAAACTTCAAGCATCAAAAGTCCCAAAACTAGTACACCACTGAGTCAGTATTTGAAGCTAAACCTATCTGACCCTGTAGCCCTGCTCTCGTCACCAGAGTTGAAAAGGAGTAAAAGATGAAGTTGGAGATAGAGTCCATCCACCTGAGCAGGGTATGTCATTCTGTCTGTCCAGGCCAGAGGCATGGGCACTGGGTATTCACACTGTAGCCTGAGCTCCATTACAAATTAACCACTGACTGCCAATCTGTCAGGCTCAGGGGACCCTGCCTTGCAAGAGTACTCCAGCTATGTGGGAGACACCTGTACACAGACAGTAATAGTGCCTGAGGATCCAGACTAGATACAAGGACAATTCAGGGCTGTAACCCTAACCCTAGAGGTTGAGGGTTGCCTCCCCAGAGATGGAAGTGCAGGAGCTGGATCTGGAAGGATGGCAAGGAGTCAGTCAGTTGAAGAAGGGGGCTGTGAGGGGAGGTGGGCTTGCCAGTCAGGGAATCTGCAGAGGGAGGAACTCCAAAAGTCAGAAGAGTGGAGAGGGAGGACCTAGGCTAGAGTGATTGGCAGAGATCAGATCCCAGGGGGTCATGACGTATTGCCAAAGCCAGGGGTTGTGTCCACCCAGGGGGTTGGGGAAGCCCTGAAGATCATGGTTGGGGAAGGAGGTCTGACTTGCACAGATAATCCATTCAGTGTAGAAGGAGAACCAGAAGAGGGGGTGAGCCTGGGGCCAGGGTACACGGGAGGCTAATGTGAAAACCCAGACCTCAGGTGACCATGACCTGAAGCAGAGAGATAGAGAAGGTAGCCCATCAAGACCTATTCAGAAGAGAGAATGGACAGCCTATGGGAAGGGAGAGGGGACTCAAGAGGACTTCCAGGTCTCAACCCAGTACAAGAGGGTGGTTGGTGGTGCCAGCAGTTTAGCCTGGGAACACAGAGGTTGAGATATCCCAGGGAGAGCTGGAGACAGGGGACAGGGAAGTGGACCGAAAGATCAGGAGAGGAGTGAGGGGTTGAACCAGAGGTTCAGCGGGATGGGTAGAATGAGTTCTGAATGTCCAGAAGTGCTAAGAAGCCAGCAGCACTCAGCCACCCAGGATTGCATGGAGAAGGGAGACCCTTGGACAGTTCCTCCGGTCTGGTTTGCCGGGAGGGTGTGAGGAGCACCAGCGTGTGGCTGGAATCTGGGCCTGATGAGGAGGGGCATGGGGCCAGGACACACACACAGACCATGAATTTTCCAGGACCTGAGGGAAGCCATACATTTACTTCTCCAGACAGTAACTGTTGGCTCCGGGAGGACCCATGTTCAATCTTAGGGGACCCCACAGTCAACAGGGACAAGATCCCAAAGCAGCTGCTTCAAGCATAGTGTGCCCCTCTTCCTGCGAGAGGCTGGCTGTGCTGCTGGATCAGCAGGAGAGCACATCCAAGCAAGTGTTTCCTGGGCAACCGCGCGCTTCAGGACACGCATGCCCAGGGCCGTGTGGAGGACACGGGGAGCGCTGGACCTGAGTGCATGCCCACCACTCTGCACTGCACTCGTTACCCTGCCTGTGGCCCAGCAGATCCCTGAGGTCCCTCTGGCTCTCTGAGGTCATTAATGCCACCTATGAAAGGAGCACATACAAAGGAGAGGGAATTTAAGAGAGGCGGTCATAGGGCAGATCGCGAGCTCTATCACAGGGCAAGCTAAGCGCACCCACGATGGAGGTTAAGGCCATGTGCCAGGGCCTGGCTGGGAGTCTAAGCACTGTTGGAGAACTCAGGGAAAGGAGAATTCCCCCTGTGTTCGGGAGTCGGAGAAGACCTCTCTCCCTGATGGCCGTCACTGTTTCTGATCTTAGGAGTCTCTTAAATGCCACACAGGCCAGCTTTTAAAAGATCTTGGCAGTAAACAAGTCCAGTAAATAGGACCCCTGGAGGGTGCCAGGTGACATGCTAGATGCTGTATATGTGCACTTAGCTTCAAAGCTACCTCTGCGGGTGAATACTATTCTCCCCCTTTAAAAAATAATTATTTATTTGGCTGCACTAGGTCCCAGTTGCAGCATGCGAGATTCTCCATTGTGGTGCACTCGCTTTTCTCTCTGGCTGTGACGCTCGGCAGTAGTTGTGGCCTGCAGACTTAGTTGCCCTGCTGGATGTGGGATCTTAGTTCCCTGACCAGAGATGAAACCCACGCCCCCTGCACTGGAAGGCAGACCCTCAACCACAGGACCCCCAGGGAAGTCCTCCTTGACCCCCGCTTTTCCTACAAGGAAATCGAGACTTGAACGGATTGGGGAACTTGCCCAGGTGACTGTGCTGGAATCGGAAGGCATGACTGTCTGACCCCAGGTCTGTCTGCCCACAAAGAGGTTCGGGGACCTTCAGTCTGTCCAGGCAGAAAAAAAGGATAGCTGCTATTGGGCCATAGAAGTTTCTGAGGACTCATGAGATGTTTAATTCACCCTGACCGGCCAGGTAGGTACTCCCAAGAAACTTGTAATGTGAAGAGCGACTTTAGAGAGGTTTTGGGGAGACAGCTTTTATGGGGTTTAGACCCTTGGGAGAGGTGAGTCCTGTAATCAACCAACAGCAGGGGCAGGCTTGCAGCTGCTGAGAGACTGTCACATCCTCACAATACATGACCCCACAGCAGCGCCATGGTGGCAGCGTCTCAGCAGTCTGACCGCCACACATCTGCCGGCCGCTCTGCGGCTGACAACTGGATGTGACAGATCAGCTGGAGGGCGTGGGAGCCGATGGGTCTGGGAGGGAGCAGCATGTGCTGTGTGTGGGGGGCTCCTCCCCCTCTACCACAGCCCTGGGCCCCATGCTCAGACCTCCATCTGTGCGGGCATCGCTCACTCCTAACGCAGCCTGGCAGGTGCTCTGCCGAGGGGAAGTGGGATGAGGCTCTGGCTGCAACCCTGACTCATTTTTGTGGCAGGAGATTGATGAGCTGTTCCAGGGTGACTGCCTGCCATCTAGTTCGCCGCCTTCAGGAAAGGATCAAGCTGGTGGAAACAAATTCAGTCATTCCAATTTAGGGAAAGGCGTCTTGAGGCCTTTCCCTTCCTTTTTGTGTCACTCTTGGAGTCTTAAATCCTAAGGAACTTTTTATTCAAAACAAATTTATTTCTAAGGCATTTGCCCATTGTCATTTGAGAAACTTTACTCAGAGTGGAGTTGGCAGAGCTGGTCATATCTTCTAACCACACTTGGGCCTGCAAAAACATGGTGCGCTGTGTTCCACAGTATTTTGTTTTTATTTATTTATTTTTTATTTTTTTAGTATTTTGCTTTTAGAAGGATGAATTTAATGTTCAGACTCTACCTGACTGTAGTGCCCACTACAATTATGGATAATTATGTCTTGCTGAGAAATCTCTATGGGGTGGCGGCTCTACAGAAAACAAACTGACATACACATTCCTGCCTGGTGGATTCAGAATCTAAATGTAGCTGTGTTTAGAGTTCAGTCATGGCGTGAAACACAAAGAATTCTCTCATGCTGTGTGTGTGTGTGTGTGTGTGTGTGTGTGTGTGTGTACGCACAATGCTTGGGGGAGCGGGTGTCACTGAAAGTACCTCTAAAGAAACAACCCTTTCCCAACAGTGCAAGTGGAGGTAATCCAACCTAAAACCTTTTAGATTATCCCAGTAATCTAAAAGGAGGTAAGAAACAGGAGAAATAAAAGACTAAAAAATTAGGATATTTTAAGACTGAAAAGGAGGCTTTGTTTGTAACATAGAGAACATCACAGAGAGAATGTTAATCTTTCAGTAAAGGCTGCAATTATCAGAGTGATAGACTTCTGGCTCTCATTCCTTTATATAGGAAATATTGATCAAGATTCCAAGGGTGCCAATTTTTAAAAATAATAGAAATCCCTAAATGTCAAATTCTATTGCTATACAAGTTACAATCACTCACTGATAAGACACATTTAAAAAAAATTAGGAGGATTAGATTTATAAAAGTTAATGTTTCTTTACTCAGTGATTCAGATCCTGGAACAGACCCTCGTAAGGACAAACCATTTTAAAAATACTGTGGAGGGATTCGTCACATAGAATTCATCCTGGCATATTTGATGTCCTAGTGCACTTCCAGCATGGCCACATACTCTTTTGAACCATGGCTAAATAAGAGAGGGGTCTTACATAAACAGACGGGGGTGAGAGCCTGGATAGGCAAGCTGGACGAGGGAGCAGGTGAGCCTGGAGACAAAGCAAACACAGGAATGAGAGGAGGTTAGAGGAGTAAGCTGGGTGAGCCAGCCAATATGAGAGAAGCTCATCCTAGGTGAGGTTTACACATAGCTTTCCAGGGCTCTGCAGACAGTGACTGACTTCTGTTCAAACCCCACGGTTAGGCTTGACTCGCAGTTCGGTGGCTTCCTAGCTGCAGGGCCTTCAGCATGTTATTCAATTTCTCATGCCTCAGTTTCTCATCTGTAAATGGAGCCCTTTTTTATGGGCCTGTCATGAGGACTCAGTGAGTTCATTCATCTAAAGGGCCTGACACCACGGTCAAAAAGTGTTACTTATTATTAATCAGAGGAGTGAGTGTATTTTTTCATTGCTTGGCTACCCAACAATTAAATATCTTCCTTTTGTGTGGGTCCTGGTGGGAGGTAGGCCTTACCCTGCATGTAGAAGGTGAAATGTGGGCCTGGGGGCAGTCAAATGTATGTCCTTTCCTGGAATTTTAGTCCTGAGGGAAAAAGACAAAGGTTTAGACTATGCTTAGAGACGGATTGCAGAGCTGGTGGCCATGAGGAAGGGTTAGCTGGACCATGTGATGGGGCAGCCAGAGTTTGTCCTAAAGAAAATCAACCCTGAATATTCATTGGAAGGACTGATGCTGAAGCTCCAATACTTTGGCCACCTGATGCAGAATGCCAATTCACTGAAAAAGACTCTGTTGCTGGGAAAGATTGAAGGTAAAAGAAGAAGGGGATGGCAGAAGATGAGATGGTTAGATAGCATCAGTGATTCAATGGATATGCATTTGAGCAAACTCCAAGAGATAGTGTGAGACAGAAGGGTCTGGCATGCTGCTCTGGTTCATGGGGTGGCAAAGAATCATACACAACTTAGTGACTGAACAAGTTGGCATGACCCCACCTGCCTAGCCTGCCTAGCTCCTGCCTACTATTCTTCCAATAAATACCTTTTCTGCTGAGTTAGCCAGAGGTCATCCTATGGTTTGCAACCTAGAACTCTATGAGGAGCCATGATCACCAGTGTTGTCAAATACTACTGTCCCTAGAGACTGGGGGAAGGAGCACTGCTCTCTGCCATTGTCTCAGACTGGGGAGAGAAAATCAGCCCTCAAATCCACCAAAGAACACAGGATGACCTCACAGTCAGCCGCCCAACAAGACCCCAGGGCAGAAATCCTGCAGAGGGAGATCTTGCCAGATTGCTCTGAAGGGTCCGGAGCATCAGGGCAGAATGCTTAGGAGAGCAAGACAGGCAGGAACCACACACTGTACCTCCGAACTTGGAAATGGCATGGGGCCAGGAGGCCGGAGGTTAGGGGAGATGAGCAGACATTTACTCAGGACCTGAACCATGGCTTTTTGGTCTCTAATCCTTTACTATTTTTCTGCCAACTGCTTCTTTGCAGGGAACATGAGAATTTTCTGCAAGTGGGGCAAGGGTGTGTTTATCAGTTTGTTGCAAATTACATGGTAAACACCAGCCCCCTGGTTGAGGCAGTTACTGAGTCTCTTTGTTAGATTAATAAGATTACAACAATCTGGGCAGAATTTCAAGTGTTTATTTTCAAACCTTATTTCAGAGGGTGGTAGTAACATAGTACCAGGCCTTTCTGGAATCTGCATGTTTCTGCTCTAAGCGACTATTTCTCCACATATATGGGGGGAGAAGGTCATTAATCTTCAACCTCTGACAGTTTGTTGTCAGTGCCCTATAGCCCGTTTTTTGGTCACAAAATTAATGTTTAACACCTCCATGGTGTCACCCTTGTCCCACAGACTTTAAAGGGCAGACTGACTGTCCCTCAGTTTGTAACTATATGCATTTCAACAAAATTGACTCGAAGTGAAATTCTGTAACACAAACCCTATTTCCCCTTTGGCTCATCTTACTACACAATGGATGTTGTAGAACATCCTTGGCAAAAATACAGCACTTCCACCCTCAGTGCCGTGAGGGAGAGTTCTGGGGGACACACAGGCATGGCTGGGTTGGTGGCCGGGGCGACTCTTCTCTCTGCACTTTGGGACCTCCCATCATGACCTGCCCTCCAGACTCACTGCCTAGCACCATGCCCTGCGTGCTGCAAGGACTGTGGCGGGAATAAGGGGTGACTGAAAGCCATCTCTGCCTTCATGGCCGTTCCCCGACGCCCTATGGAATCTCATGCTCCCGGCCCAGGTTAAGCCAGTTCCCTCAACCTGCTATGCCTTTCCCACCTCATCACATCCATCCAGACCCACGCATAGGACTGCTCTTCTGGATCCTCCCTAAGCTCTCAGCCTTCCCAGTTTCCATGTTCATACTGGTCCTGGAGTTCCCCACCTGGTTTTAGATGTGAATTCCTTCCTTCCTGCCTGATTCTCTGTACTCTTTGGGAGCATTTCAAATTCATCTTTATATCCTCCATGGTGAGCTTGTTATTTGCTCAGTCATGTCCAACTCTTTGTGACTCCATGGACTGTAGCCCACCAAGCTCCTCTGTCCCTGAAATTCTCCAGGCCGGAATACCAGAGTGGGTTGCCATTTCCTTATAATGTACCAAAATTAGGAATTTAGTAAATGGATGAATGAATGATAAAATGAATGAGTTTGTAAATAGAGATACAAATAGTAGATAAAAATTTACAAACAGGAGATAAGATAGTAATTAGCTTTATCTAAGGGCTTTTCAGTTGATAAATTTCAGAAATTTCATACACATCCATTTATATGATCCTCATGGCAAATTAGAAAGGTAGTTCCAATTGTTTGAATTTCGCAAAGAGGTTAAATCATAACAATAATAACAGCTTTAATGTTTGAGGACCGACATCCTCTGTTAATCCTAAATTACTTTACTGTACAAAGTAAACTGTCACCTTTTACACTTGGGGAAACTGAGTCTCAGAAACTTGTCTAAAGCCATAGCCAGGATTGGAACTCACATTTTGGGACTCCAAAACCTATTTAGTACCTGACACGATATTGGCAGAGAGAGGATGGAGCCAGTCCCAGCCATATCAAGGGTCCCTGAGCTAACCCTTGAAGGACTGAAGTGAAGCTCTGTGAGGGATGGACAGCCTGGTCAGTGGGACTGACATGGGCAAAGGAAGGGATGTGGAAGCTGGCAGGCCAGGCTTGGAGCCTGGGGCCTGAAGGACAGTGAGAGGGGTGGGCAGTGGCTTGGGAACAATCTATGTCAGGGGCCAGGAGGGATGTGCCATAACCAGCCTCAGATGCTGGGGGTAAGGTGCTTGGGCTTTATGTTCTGCCCAGTAGAACCATTGTGGGTAGGATGAATTCTGCAAGGCCTTTGAAGTATTCTGCTATGTAACTGGGGGGGAGGAAGCTGAAGGCAATGAGACCAGTTTCAGGCTCTGGCAATAATCTCAACAAACCATCAAGTGACCTTGCGAGGGTAGTGGAGTGGAAATAAAAAGGGGAAAACAGATACAGGAGATGTTGAGCATGTTTCCATACCTCTCCCCTTCTCTGTTCTTAAGCCAACGAAATGTGTCTGATGAAAAATTTGCCCATGTTTTGCTGGTTCAGTCCTCTGTGCTTCATACTTACTATTCCCTCTATCTCAGGTTCTCTCGCTTCTCCACACCCCACTCACCTGAAGAAAACCTATTCATACTTCAAAGTCTTGCTCAGATGTACACTCCTCCAAAAATTGTTTCCCCACTTCAAGTGTGTATGATGTTTGTGCCATCTTTGCATTTTGTACACAATACTGTAGGGGAATCGATGCCAATATAGTTTGTTTACACATCTGTCTTCCCTGGCAGACAGTGAACTCAGTGATTGGGACCATTTTCACCTTTGTGTTCCTGTGCCTAGGACAATGCCTGACATGCTCCAAGTATGATGTTGAATGAACGAATGCACGCATGCCTGAATGTGTGAATGAGTAAAGGAAGAGTGAAGAAATTATCTCCTTCCTCTTTTCCAGCCATTCGTGATGGAATAAGTAGTAAGCTACACTTGTCATTCTCTGTCTGATGAGGTACTTTGCTCTGAAAAATGCCTTTCATTTAAGCCTTGATTTTATAAAATTAATGAACATCTCATTTATCAGTTTGAAACACTCAGAACAAGCAAAAAATGATTAGAGGGCAGGGAAAGGAAAGAAGAGGAGAGAGGGAAGCCCAGTGGGGCCACTGGTCTGCAGCTGCTGTTCTCCTTGGGCACGATCAGGAAAAACAAAGCACCCAGCCCTGGGGTGTGTTACAAGTGACCTCAGGCAAAGCAAAGGCTTTGCTTCACCTCCTTCCATTTGCTCACAAGAGGGTCCCAAAGGAAAAGACTTTGAAAATGTAGAGAAATGCCATGAAAGAGACATATTATTATTCTGCTTGGATGCTAAAATGTGGCATTGTGAATGAAGTGCTGCCTTCCCAAGCCCATCCAAAGAAAAAGATGATTTCAATGTTAAATGTATTCCTTTCACTTACTAAGACATACATTAATTAGGGAAAAAGCATCTTCCAAAATATAAACTTAAATCTGTTAATAAGCACAAATCTTCACAGAAAACTAGGAAGTACACGGGGACTAGCAGACTAACCTCAGACAGAAGCCATCTGTGACTTTAGAACAAGCATTTTTACTATCTGGAGGTGGCACGCTGTTGTGAAATGCTAAATTAAATACCACTAAACATTATTATGCCTTCAAAAAGTAGTTACAGGCTTCAATAAGCACACTTTTATCACAAGAACACACAATCTAAAGCCAAAATAGTTTGGTTTAACGTGCCAAAAATATGCTCACCCCATACATTGTTAGAAAGAGCAGTAGGAAAAGAAATCTAAAATTTGCGGCTAATTCATTTGACAGCAGCCAGTGTCTCCTATCTTCCTTGGCAAGAGGGCCAATTTTCTATGTTGTATTTTGCACACAGAAATCTGCATAGAGTGATTTGCATACCAAAAACACACTTGTGAAAGAAACTGTTTGCCTAGGAGCCAGGGAGAGATGGGGTTGCCACTGTTGGCTTCTATATACACAACACCCCCAGGCTACTTGCTTTTCATCTCCCTACATGCTGCATTTCCCACAAAGTGTTATGCATTTCATGATGCATTAAAAATTAAAGCAAATAAATCCTATACATAACCAAGAACAACCATAACAACAATCCAGCACAACGCCGGATAAATCTTTCCTAATAGCCTTCAACTCTTTACTAAGCATCTGGTGACAATAAGTGCCGTAATACATTGAGCTTTTGTTTTACATCAGGTGTTTTACATGAATCACTGCTAATTCTCACAGTCTTCAAGGTAGGTGCTGCAGTTCCCCATTTTCTGTATAAGGTAACTGTGGCTTGGGGAGGCAAGCTAACTTGTCAAAGTCATGAAAAGGCAGTGGTGAAGCCAGGTTTGGAAACCTGGTCTGACTGCTCATCCCTTCCCTGCCACTCCTACCCTCCACTGCCTCTCTCGCCAGCCCCAGTTTTGCCGCAGACCATCGTCGTTCCATTTCCAAGGGTTGAGTCTAGCAGGCTGGGGTGGTGGGGACACACACTGAGAAAGGTGTATGTACCACTTTGGCTTCCTGCCATGGTTTGAGACTAGAGCCTGAAAGCAGGACAGCCAGTGTCAAGTCACAGCAAAGTTGCCTGAAAAACGAGTTCAATGACAGACACGGGGTGAATGGGCAATGGCCTGTGATTCAGAGGACGCGGGGGAGGGGCGGAGAGCCAGTTTGGTTGCTGCACAAAGAAGGTACATGGTAGTTGGGATGCAATGGAACCCTCCCGCTTGGTGCCCATGCGCTATCACCAATTCAGTGCCAGCCCAGCTGTATTCTTGGAAACAGAGAATGGTTTTGTGTGTGCTTAATTATAATGCTACTTACAGAGAATTTATCAGCAGCAAATTAGATGCTTGGTGTATTTCTTAAGGAAAAAAAATTGGTAGTAGCTCTTTGAAATCTGTTCATCTGATGAATGCTTTGCAAATCTTCCCAATACGCAGCATTTGAAAGAAAATTGGCGATTTCTGGAAAGTCAATAGGGGAAAAGTGCAGAATAAAGACTGAGGATGACTGTAAAAAAGGTTTACAAACATTTGCTTTCTTTTAAGTTGTTTCTGTGTGTGTTTTTCTCACCTGGTTTCTCTTTTGCCGGCCATGGTAGCAGAATTTAGATCTAATCATATTTCATTATCCATGGACTGCCATTGTCCAGGCTCCTGGCTTTGAGACTTCATTAGGGATTAGTCACTGTTAGAAAGCAGTTTTACCGACACTTTCAGTAATAAATCCCTTGTGATATGATCTTGAGCAGCTCTGTCTCATAGCAAGTTCCAGGCTAAAGCAAGTAATGTGATAGCAAACTGTTTTGGAGGCAGACAAATCTGGTTTGAATCCAGGTTTTGTCAACTATAGTTTTACCTTACTTATTTAATCTGAGACAGTTTCCTCATTTGTTAAAAAAAAAAAAAAAAAAAGGAAAAGAATATAAGGGCCGACCCTGGTTGCCTACCTGACAACCATTTACCTCGTCCGTGCTAATGACAACAACAGAAAATCTTGATTTTGTTCAGGTCCCACGTGCCTAACTCCGAAGATTTATCACATTGGTCTAAGCCATCCTTTCTTGTCAGTGATTGGTTTATAGGGTCTACAGGAAAGCACGTGACCTAATTCTGGCCTATAAGATCAAAGGGGAAATCAGCCAGAAGCTTCTGAGGAAGATTTTCTTCTCTGATAAGAGAGACATGTGAAGAGAAAGCCCATCTGCTTTTGCGTGCCTTGCTTCCTGATCCTGATGCTGTTGCTGAGACGTGATGTTTGATGTTGTGGCAACCATCTCTTGAACACAAGGGGAACATCAGGACACATAACAGATGGCAGAGGAGAAGGACCAACCGGAAGAGCCTAAGTCCCTGGGGACAACACTGATCGGCTGAACCAACCTTGGTCCACTTGTCTCAAGATTTCTTGTTAAAAATCAGTGTCTTTATGGTTTAACCTGTTGTGTAATAGATTTTGTGTTGCTTGCAGCCAAAAACAAAAACTCCTTAATTTATATAAGTAAGAAACTCACAAAATAATTCTAAATAAATGATACATTGTATGTACTTAGCACAATGCTTGGTACACTAAATGGTTGCTAAAAATATTGGTAACAGCATTTATCAGACATAGGTAATGACCTGAAAAAGCAAAACTTTCAAAACACCACACAGATAAATAAGATGAATGATACTGATTTAGCACAACCAAAAAGCTTCATATTCTTGGTAAGGGTCAGGGGAGACATTAAGGTATTAGCCAATGATTACACCAACAAATCCTCATATCTGGGAGTAAGATGTAACTACAGCCAGAATTCAAGCACTATTAGAGATGAAAGGACCATGGTTCTTTGCCAGGTTTCCATCCATCCTCTTAAAAACGGACAATCACCCTGTCAGCAGCTCACGACTCATATCTGAAGACTAATAATTACGTGTATGTGAATTACCAGCCTTGCAAAGGGGCAGAGTTCTTTCAACTCACAGAATCTCTTTCAGAAAACCAAATTTTACTATTATTTTCTGAAAACATGTTATATTTCTTTATGGTAGAAAAGCTAGACATACATATATAAAAAACATAATTTAGAAATATCATTTCCTTAGAAATGTTGTTGTTGTTTAGTTGCTAAGTCATGTCCGACTTTTGCAATCCCATGGACTGTAACCTGCCAGGCTCCTCTGTCCATCTCATGATAGCTATTTTTTAATAAAATTAAATTCATTTAACACACAACCATCTATTTTAATTTTATTTATTTATTTATTTTGGCCATACCTTGTGGCATGTGGGATCTTAGTTCCCCAATCAGGAATCAAACTCATGTCCCCTACATTAGGAAGATGGAATCTTAACCATTGGACTGCCAGGGAAATCCCAACAATTAACCATTTAAAATTATACAATTAAGTGGCATTTAGTGTATTCACAATATTCACAATGTTCGACTCACTCCACTTTCAAAACTCTTTTACCACACCTCTGGGAAAAATACTCCATGTCCATTAAATAAGCACTTCCCATTCCCTTCATCCCAACCTCAGTTAATCATTAATCTGCTTTCTGTCTCTGTGGATTTGCCTATACTACATAAAAGGATTGTATATTACAATCATACAATATGTGACCTTTTGTGCCTGGCTTCTTTCTCTCATCCAAGTAACAGCATGCATCAGTATTTTGTTCCTTTTTATGGTTGAATAATGTTCCACTGCATGTGTATATCACAGGCAGTTTATCCCTTCACCCCATCCACTGATAGACATTTGAGCTGCTTCCACCTTTTGGCTTCTCTTGGTATTTTAACATCCCACTTGTCATCATCCTGGCCCAGGCTACCGTTCTCTCACCTGGATTACAGCAACATTTTAACTAACCTCTCTTCTCCACTCCGTTTCTTTCCACACAGCAACTTGAAGGCCATTCCATGCTTGCAGCCCTTCAGAGGTTTTCCAGTCGCTCAAAGGACACTCTGGGTTCAAATCTTCAGCAAGAACTACAGAGCCTGCAGTGAATGTTTACCTTTCTTGTCTACATTTTTTCCTATTTCATTTCACATCACCCTCTCTGCAACTGAATGGTTCCTGCTTAAGTGAACTTCTCTCAATTTCTCAAAACCACCAATACTTCTCTTTCTTCAAGAGAAGTGCACCTACTGTGCTGTGTATCTTCTCTTTGCTGGACTGACTCCGACTTATCCTCTCAAACATCACTTAGATGCGGATGAGATGGTTAGATAGAATCATGACTCAATGGATATGAATTTGAGCAAACTCCAGGAGACAGAGGAGGACAGGGAAGCCTGGTGTGATGCAGTCCACGGGGTCACAGAGTCAGAAACAACTTAGCAACTGAAAAACAACATACAATACCCTATACTTCTTTGCAGCATTTGCCCAACTGTAAATTATTTTTTCTACTAGACCGTAAGCTCCACAAGGGCAGAAACCATTTGTTGCGCTCCTCATGAGAACCTTTCTGCCTAGCACAATGCTCGGCACATGGTAGACATTGATCAATAGTGTTACAGACTGGGGCATGGGCAGAATTAGCAAACTGCCTCTAAAATTTTGGATACTCTCTGAAGGTCTCAAAGTATGTCAACTAAAATGGATACACATACAAACAAACCTTTAGTTATAATCACATTGTTCATACCCTCTCTACTTACCTACCCATCTAAATGGTAGAATTCAGGAAAACAAGACAAAGTTTTATAAATACGGAAATACCCTTTCAAACAGTTCTTTGCTTGTGATTTAAAAAATAACTGATATTTAAGATCACCTAAAACAAGCATACTATAATTGAATAGTTGCCTATCAAAATGTGATTCTCTGACTTCAGTGATTATTCTTGCCTTTGAAGGATCTAAGGGAAAATGTTCTAAAGACACACTTGTAGAGCAAGGAAAAATTCTCATAACATTAATACTTCCATTCTTTCCAGTCTTTATCAGTGTGGTTTAACACGTAAATACAGCTTTTGTTTTCCAAGATTTTACCTACTCTCTTTATTCACTTCTCAAAAGACAGATCAATGGATGAGATTACAGCTCCCTATCATGAAATTAATTTCAGATACTTGAAAAAGCTACTTTTAATCACCACCTGGGGGAAAAGATAAATAGCCCAAGCCAGCTTTTTAGCTGTAGGTACTAAAGATTAGAGGGGAAAATTAGAGAATGTGATAGAATAAAACCTCTTGCTGAAACTGCAGTACCACAGAATTTTTTAAAAGCACTGTTTTTATGATTCTCAATCCCTTTAGGTTAAGAGCTCAGGCACTGAGTTGGTGCAGGAAATAATTTAAATATATTTAAGTATTTTACAATTTAATTGAAAGTGAAAGTGAAAGTGAAGTTGCTCAGTCGTGTCCGACTCTTAGTGACCCCATGAACTGCAGCCTACCAGGCTCCTCTGTCCATGGGATTTTCCAGGCAAGAGTACTGGAGTGAGTTGCCATTGCCTTCTCCGTTGCAATTTGATTACTTGTAAGCAATTACACCATGGGTTTTTCACAACTGAGACCATTACAGACTTTTCATTAGTGCAAAATTAGGAATGTTTCGTAGTACATACAAATAAAAGATTAAAAAAAAACATTTTTGAGGTACTATGAAAGCAATTTATGAAAAGGAGAATCATTGGTTTTGTTAAGGTGCTGAGGTAAAGCAATGAAGAACATGTGGATTCTGATTCAAACTATATCAATTATTAGCTGTATGAGCAAGTTACATAGCTTCTGAATCTGTTTATGCATAAAATTGACTACTTCAAAGATTGAGATTATGTGAAAAATGAATATAACATTTCTAACAATGCCAGACATACAGTATGGCTTTTCTACCAGATATGCACGATTTCACAGAGTGGTAATTACAGACAAGGTAAAACAGTGAATAGAAGTTTAAATATTTCCAAAAGAATAAAAAACTAGGGGAAAAAATGCCTAATGACTCTGAATTCACATTATCTTTCTCAGTTTGAGTTTTATTCTCTATTGTGTGCTACCATGACCTCTATTTAGTAAGATGTTTGTAAACTACCACAAACAATAACAAAAAGGCAAATAGAAATCTAGGGACTGAATATGAAACCTGCTGACCCAAACTAAGCAAATCCATCCTCTTGACCATGTCCATAACAGTAAGAATTATGCCAAACAGTTCTCCTTAGATTATACTTGTCTAAACATGCACATTGTATATTACAGAAATCGCCTGGTATTGTCAACAGAACAACCATCAAATACCACAGACCAGAACAAGTGGTCTCTTATTATTTTGAGGCTCCATAGATTTTGTAGCAATTCCTTAAATTATATTACATTAGAAAGCAATTTATTTAATAAGTTAAAAAAATTATTTGACTGTGTTGGGTCTTAGTTGCAGCATGTAGGATCTTTGATATTTTATTGTGGTATGTGGGATCCAGTTCCCTAACCAGGGATCTAAACCCTGCCCCCTGCATTGAAAGTGCTTAGTTTTAGCCACTGGACCACCAGTAAAGTCACAGCAATTTACTTAAAAAACTGTTGACCAAAGAAACTTCCCACAAGCATTTTGCAACACTAGCCAAAAATATGCTGCTTCTGTGCAACTCTTTGCGACCCTATGGACTCTAGTCCACCAGGCTTCTCTGTCCATGGGATTTTCCAGACAAGAATACTGGAGTGGGTTGCCATTTCCTTCTCCAGGGAATCCTCCTGACCCAGGGATTGAATCTGTATCTCCTGCAGTATGGGCAGGCTGATGCTTTACCACTGAGCAACCTGAGAAGCCCAAACCAAAAATATATTTGTTTTAAAATTTTGCAGAAATGAACCTGCACAATAGTTTCTCAAAATTTATTATTTCCCTTCCTTGAGAAGTTTTCTTTTCCACAAACCTGGAAACTAACTTCCTAGGAACTCAAAGAGTCTTAAAAATACATTATGATCCTTCCCCTGCATCCTCCCTAACAAAATAGAAACACTAAATTTCACTGCATCTCATTCACAAGTTCTGATTTTTTAAATATAAATTTCATTGCATCTCATTCACAAGTTCTGATTTTTTTCTTCCAAGCTCTTTATTATCCAATCAAGACAGTTCAAATGTATTTAGACACATTTTAACTTCAGTTAACCACTAAGCAGTTTACTATTACATAGTTAAAACATTAACATATCCTAAGTTTGTGTTTTTTAATACAACGTGTTAGGGCAATTGTGCAACATTTTAGTTAATCATATCAAATATCATATTGGAGTTTCTTATTCACATTCTACAAACATCTCTAATTCACAGAATTTCACTCATTTTATAGTTTCCTTAATCAGAGATGTGAAAGCTACAGAAAACTGAAAATGCGCTTTATAACTTCAATAAATTTTAAGAACCTCAACCATTGCAAAGATCAATGAAATATCTACCAAGGTAAATGAATGACATACCAAGTTAAATGAATGACATTTGTTACATTAAAAATGAGATTTTTCTTTCAAAGTCACCAAAACCATTAATATTCAACCAAAAATTGTTGGAATTTGTAGGGTTTCATGTATGTCTGTGTTTAAATGTCAGGGTGGTATGATTTTCTTTGGATGTAAGGCTGTTGAAAGCTGAATTGTACAAAAGAAATCTTTAGAGAACAGAGACTTGTCTTTACATATTTATTCTCACAGGCTGCCCTTCATCTCATCTTGGTTTTCCACATTGATCCAATTGTAGCACTTCCTGGAGCGAACTATGTTCTAATCAGCAACATCAGGAAGAGAATAGGACAAAGCCAAATGAGAAAATGCAGATCTCATGTCATACTCTTTGAAAAGAGTGAATGCTTTCTAAGCTATCAGGAAATGTAAGTCACAATTTAACTTTTAATAATTTTTATCTGCAATGGACATGAACAAGAAATATGGAACGAATCCTTCATCTATTCAATAGGTGCACGATTTCTATTGAGATGAGCACCATGTAGCAGAATTTTACTTTGTTCTCTGTCCCATATAGTTGGGCTGACCTTGAAACCTCATCAGTAGGCTCTTTTGTAGTGATGCTTGGATAATCTCCACTGAATGGTGAATCAAAGGAGATACAACCTAGAGGCACTAAATCACCTAACATTACTTCCTGTTAAGAATTTTTTCCCCTTATAATGCTGAAAAGCTATTGAGTTAAAGCAACCATGCCGACTCCCCAAAGACAATGGTCTAAACCCCCAAATGAAACGGTTGCAATTCTCTTTGATTGCCAAAAAGCAGGAATCAATCACTTAAAGAAAACTAGGTCTGCACGTTGTCACCTCTCCATAAATGTTAACATCCTATGCACTAGTATTATTTGAACATAATTCCCCCACGGAATCGAAATACTGGCCAACGGTGGCCACAGGAGTCTTCCAATCCATGCCTACTTTCGGGATTTGGGCGCTTGAGGGACTGGAGGGCGAGGCAATTTGAAATAGACCTTGACGGAGTCGTAGATGAACCACTGCAGGGCAGTCAGGGTGCCAATCATGATGATCCGGGCAAACAGGCCTTTCCACACGCCCTTGAACCCCAATCTGCGGAGAACCTCGAAGGCCGTGCTGCCTTTCTCCTTGTTCAAAACGGACACGACGGAATCCGCAGGGTGGGACACCACGGCGCAGAAGACGCCAGCGATGTAGCCGGCCACAAAGGTCACGGAAAGCAGCTCACTTTTGGTGCACTGGCTCTGCGGCTTGGGCACCACGTACTTGAAGAGCGCCTCAACCGTGCGCTCGAAGCAGGCGAACTTCATCATGGTGTAGGGGATCTGGCGCATCCAGAGTGGTGCCACGCCTTTGTAGAAGGCCCACAAGCCCTCCTCGCCGTACATCTTGGGGGCCGCTGCCCGGAGCGTGCGGGCATAGCCCTGCTGCGTCTGCATGCGAACCTTCACTGCTTCCATCGGGGCCAGGGCCACGTCAGCGAAGAACTCGGCGCTGGCCGAGGCGGCCAGGTACAGCCCGGTTCTCCATTCATAGGCCTTCTTTTGGCCCAGGAGCTCCGCGTAGCGGATTTTGAAGACCTCGTAGAGGCCGAACTTGAAGAGGCCCTGCATGGAGTAGCCCAGAAAGGTCGGGGCCCAGCCTCGGGCCAGGCCGCGCAGTCCATCGTCCCGCAGTGTCACGCCAAAGCCGCTCAGGATGCCCTTGTACTTGCTGGGGTCCACCTGCATGCGGCACTTGACCAGGTCCAGGGGCACGATGGCCGTGTGCGTCAGCCCGCAGCTCAGCATCCCGCCCAGGCCGCAGAGCAGTAGGTACTTCGTGGAGCCGTACTCGTAGTTGGACTCCTCAAAGGCTGCTGCCCAGGGCCTGCCCTTGAGTTGGCCCGCGCTTCTCCCCTGCAGGGCTCGGTAAACGCCAGCATCACACATGGCCGCGCTGGGTCTAGGCACACACTTCCCTCAGCCTGAGCTCTTTCCTCCCTCAGGGCCCCAGAGCACTGCGCATGCGTCTGAACTCCCCCCTCCCCCACACCCCCCCGCGTGAGCTTACTAACCCAACGGTCTGAGCGAGGGACAGGTCCCGCCAGAGCCCAAAGGACTTCGACCGACCGCTCTCTACCGATGCCTGCACACCTCCTACCGGCTTGGCTGTCTTTGGATCGCAACTGGCTCCTGAAATTTTAAATAGGGGCATCGCGCCGCCCCTAACCTCCAGAACGGCCCTTCTCCCCGCCCTCAAGCTTTTGGGCGAATAGGCTTCTGGTAACGACAGGAACCCCGCCCCTGAACTCTCCTCAGCTTCCTCCTCAGAGATCCCTAGGTCTCACCTTCCGTGGTAAGGCTTTCCGTGCCTAGTGCGTCAGGTGGCTTCTGTCCAGCTCAGCAGTTTAGTCTTCTACAAAGATGCTAAAAAAATAAATCAACAAGTACAAACATGAGTAAACACATGAATAGGCAAGTAAGTAGATGAGGAGATGAGTGACAGGGTGAAGAGTCGCCATGCACTCTTTCAGGAAGAGTTGCCTTCCTGAAAGGCCTTCCTGGAGTCCTCACTCAAACAGCCCGCTTATGGTAATGATCATCTCCATGACCACAGAATGTTCTATGGAGGGAATGCACAGAGAGAACCAGGAACCTGGCATTAGAGGACCAGTCCCTGAGCTTCCAGCCTTACCTAACATTCTTACAGCGCAGACAGAGAGGATACCTCTCCCCCAAACCCACACCACTCATTTCCCTCCAAGAGTTATTGTGGGGTCTTAGGAAGGATGGAGGTTCTCCCTAGATTGAGAGAGGGATGCTGATTATTTTCATTCATTCGATGTTTTTTCAATGACTACTGAATCCCTGCCATGATTTTGGAGACTAGGAAAGTAAAAAATCCTCTTTCCTTTTAAGGGAACTTGTAGTCTCATTGGTCTGGAAAATGAGAACTAAATGATTCTTCTTGTAAATCAGTAGCATATATTCATACATTCGCTCACTGTGTGCTGGGCCCTATGCAGGGTTAGGGGTTTAGCAAAGAGTCAGGCATATTCTTTAAGTGTGAAGTATTAGTCACACAGTCGTGTCTGACTTTTTGTGACCCCCATGGATTGTAGCCTGCCAGGCTCCTCTGTCCATTCAATTCTGCAGAAAAGAATACTGGAGTGGGTAGCCATTCCCTTCTCCAGGGAATCTTCCCCACCCAGGGATCAAACTAGGCCTCTTGCATTGCAGACAGATTCTTTGCCATCTGAGCCACCAGGGAAGAAGTATTCTTGCTGACATCTAAATGAGGAGATTAAAAAATCAATATTGTGTGATAAGCAAAATATACCATGATAATGAAATCAGGGCTTCCCAAATTATGTTCCTGGGAATATTGGTCCACTTGAAAAAGGTCAGTGGTCCAACAAGTTTGAGGGACATTTCATACTAGAGTATTCATTCTCAACTGAGGTAATATCATCCCCCAGGAGGTGAAAACTGGATCTTAAAGGGCAAAAAATCTTAGTACAGTGGTTTGTGACCTTCCAAAACTCAACTCTACCCAACAAAATCATATTCCTTGTTATTTAATTTCCAGGTTGGGAGAGGAGCTCAGGGAGGGTCAGGGAGATAGAAAAAGGCCATTAGAGGAAAACAGTCTAAAAAGGATCATGGGGAAGAAAGGCCAGTAATGAATAAAAGGTTAAGGAACACTAGAGCTTCTTCCTGGAGATTTCCTTATTAAAGAGAAGTTCCATAGTAAGAATTTTGCTTCATTAACTTAGTGCTCTCTAATCTTACTGGATCTTAGAACCCCTTTTTTATATTACTCCTATTCACATTGCACAGATGTAGTCTTCCATGGAGACTATTTTGGGAAATGCTGGACTCTATTAAAAAAATGAAGTTTAGAGAAAACAAGGGATAAAGAGGACCAGAGTAATAATAGCAGCTACCATTTACTTAGGCCTCCATTTCCTAAAGATACAACATGTATGTTTTGCTAACATGTAACACAGGTCACCAGTTATTTTATGAAAGCTGAGATTAAATCAATTTATCTCATTTGTATGAGATACTTTTTCTTTACCATTAAAATACTGCAAAAGAAAATGTACAAGTTGAAGAAACCAATCTAGAAATCCTCAGGGCCAGAATTTTCTTAGACATTCTCAGTTCAATAACTAGGCCATAAAGTCAGAAACAACTGGAAGTAGACTGTAAAAATATTTTGATATTATAGAGCATACAACCACTATGAAGTTGATCTCCTTGGTACTTTTGTAATCCAGGCCAACATTTCTGTCTTGAAATCATTATTACACTTTTGCTGTGTTCTCCCTGCTAGCTTGAGTTGAACAGTAGGTCTTTCCACAGGGCCAGATTTAGACTTTTATGTTCTCTTATTTGTTATACTTAAAAAAAAGTTAAAATGTATTCATTCACCCAACAGATTTTTATGTAGGTTCTATTATGTGTCAGGGCACATTTTGAATTAATATACCAAAGCAAAGCTAATGACCCACATTGTCCCCAAACAGAATTTTCATAAGCTCTAAAACAGAATCACATAGTGCCCAGATAAAACAGGAAACACTCTTGAATACCTGCTCTTTGCCAAGTGATTTAAATATCTCTAATCCTTACAGTGACCGTACAAGATATTTTTCCTGTTTTACAGATGTAAGTGGCAGACAGTGTGAAGAAAGTGAAAGTGAAAGATGCTCAGTCATTTCCAACTCTTTGCAACCCCATGGACTGTAGCATGCCAGGCGCCTCTGTCCATGGAATTCTTCAGGCAAGCATATTGGAGTGGAGCCATTCCCTTCTCCAGGGGATCTTCCCAACCCAGGGACTGAACCCAGGTTTCCTGCATTGCAGGCAGATTCTTTACCGTCTGAGCCACCAGGGCAGACACTATAGTCTACTCAAAAGTCGATAGCCTATTTTTCTTTGCTATAGAACTCTGTTCAGGTATGTGGCAAACATCCTTTGAATTCTACATCATATTTGCTCACTCATGACATTTCTCATGATATTTTAACTTGGATATAAGGTATTTGATTTTTGGCCATAAATACTCAGGTCCATTGATGGTTTCTCTACTCCAATTACACAAATATATATCTGAGCACGATGTCTTACCCCTGTGTCCATGTCTTTATGTCTGTCTTTCCACTTTCCTCTTTTACTTCATGTCATTTTTCAGAATCAGGGGCAAAGAATGTATGCCAGAAAACTTTCCTTTATTAACCCACCTTCTTTGTGTTTTTCTAGTAATTACCGTTTTAGGTAGTTTGCCAGATATTCATTTGTATTTAGTCTGGACTGAAAAATTGCCATTTTTAAAAACTATAGGAAATACTTCAGACAAGACTGTAAGAACACTGCTTCCTTTGTTTATGTATCAGGTCATGGTTCAGTGTCATATCCAGTCTCTGTGGGTGTTGGCCAACTCAATTATCAGTGAGAGTGAACTGGAATAGCTGCTTGAATCATTTTCTTAGCTTTAACACATATGGTGAACTTCATCCCCCATCATGAATCTCTATATCCATCATAAACATTTAGAGAATATAGTTTTGGGTATGTCATTTTTTAAAACAGCACATGAAGGACACTGAAATTAACAAATTTAAGTTCTTAGGAACTGAATGGGAAGGGCAATTGAATGTTTATTAAGCACTACTATGTGTAAGACATGTATAAGGGGGAAAGTCACATGCTTTGGGCAGAAATAAATTATGAGTTAACCTTTTTTTTAGTTATGTGAACTTAGACAAGTTATTTAGCCCTTTTCTGAGCTCCACTTCTTTATTTATTTCAAACATCTATAATTAAGACTAATTATAACCTTTTAGAGTTGTTATAAGAGATAATGCACACACACACACACAAACTAGCCCAGCGCCTGTGAATTAATGAGCATCCCATGAATGTCAATTCTGTTACTCCCCCCTGCTTTTCTGGCTCTCCTTGATCCTCTCAGAATCCATGTTTCTGTGAGGTCACAGACTCTGCTCTTTCCCTTTCACTTGAGTGGATGATTCATTCATTTAACTATAATAAATTCCAACTGACTTAGATGGCTTAGGACAGGAACTGAAGAAATCCTAAGTGGCAGAAATGTGAACTTCTTTGACAATGCCCCAGGATGTGTGAGGCCATAAAACAAGTAGGACAGAGACTGCTCTCCTGTGGCTCAGCAGGTTGGGCCGCAGAGAGGAACAGAAAACTGGATAGCCTTTCTCCTCTTCCAAATTGATTTTTCCAGCCTAGGGCCTTATTCAGTTGAACTCTAGCTAGGGCTACCAATTCATCCCAGTTTGTCCCAGACTTTCCTGGTTGCAGCACTCAAAGCCCAGTGTCCCCAGAACCCTCTCAGTCCCAGGCAAATCAGGACAGTTGGTCACTGTACTTAGAGGAGCCCAAGTTGTGCCTGTGGCTTCCAGCCACTGCCAGTGTGCTCCGGTATAAGAATCACTGGCCTTGGAGCCAGGCAGCCCTGGGCCCAAATCCTGGCTCATTCTACTTCCAGCTATGAATCTTGTAAAAGTTATTTCTTGAACCTTAGTTTCTGTATCTATAAACCTCATGCTATTATCTTCTGAATTTGTAGTGAACTTCATATTATTATTAAATTAAATGATAGCACAGTGCTTGCAATGTTATAGGCCCTCAATGAATGTTAGGTCTTTCCTTCCTGACTGACTTCCATATACTTAAGAAGGTTTCATTATCCCTTGAGGCACTATGTCTCTAAAAATCCCTGATTCAAGGAAGGGGGTGGCCATTGGACAGTAGGGGGCACTGTTGCCACTATTCCTATCTTTCTACCCGCTCCTCTGCATCCTCCATCCTCATACCAAAGCAAGGAAGTTTTAGTAAACCACTGATCAAAGACGGCCAAGCTCTAAATCCACACTTGGTTTTAACTTATCTAAATGCGTCCCACATGCCTGCAATAATGTTCAGGGTGTATCTGGACCATTTTAAATCTTGTACATTTAATTTATAATCCTTCTCACTCCAGGAGGTTTGTGACATGCCAGGGGGTCAAATGTTTATTCTTAGAATTATTTAACCCCAATCAACTAATTATTCTGATGAATTGTATACTTTTTCCCCCTTTTTGCTTGACCAGATTGGAAACAATGACAGGCATTTAACTGAGATTTATTTGTAAAACTCCCAACAGATTGAGAATTACGAGTTCTTTAAACTGTCTCTTAAAATAAATATTTCTGATTTATCTGGAGAGTTAAAGGGGAAAAAGCAACAATCTCCAAACTCATTAAACCAAGTAAGTCTAACTATGTTTAAAAAAAGTGTTGTAGGAGGTAATAATCCCTATATGTTTGGATGAAAATTGTTTATTACAAATCTTCATCCTTTTCTTGTTTTTGGTTTGTGCAAAGCACAAACTAGAACTGACATATCTAGACATGTAGTCCCAGTCCTCAGTTTTTCTTCAGAAAGTAGAACAATAAGTAACTAGGACTCACATAGGTATTGCAAGGTTGAAGTGGAATTGAGTGAGCTTTTCTTTGGGAAAGTTGTTCCAGGTGGGGCACACACTGGAGGCCAGTCATGGCTCTGGACTAGTACTATGCTAGACAGGGCTGTTCCTCCTAACCCTGGGTCCCTGGCTGATTCATATCTCCTAGGACGCTTAAACAGATGAGGCACAAAGCAGCAGCAATGGAAGACAAAGGAGCAAGAGAAAGGAGATGAAATCAAACAGCAGCTGAAGAGGTTGTGTAGATAAAAGACCAGAACAAACAATTCTATGGAGCAGATGAGAAGTACAACATCTGAGCAGAGAGGGCATGCTCACAGGGGCATTGGTAGCTGAGTAAGACCCAATAGTACTGATATTTGTTTTGTTTTTACTTGCTAATTTGATGGGGAAAAGTATTTTTACATACAGAGAAATTTTCATGGTATATATAACTGATTACATGTAGTTTTGATAGTACTGTCAAATTTTCATAAATTTTGGGAAATTTTTTGTCTTAAAAGATGACATGTCCCTATAAATACAGCATTTAAA